ACGTCGATTTATGCCAAGCCGTCTTAGGCGTATCCATGACTTTGGGCAAATTTAATGGCCGGCTGGAAGTGCCGTCACCTCGTCCTCAATTGATTGGTCCGTAAGCCGGACAAAAGGTTGCTTGCGCCACTTTTTTCCCACTGCCTCCAGCCTCCCCCCAAATGGGCACCAGATCGCTGGGATGTCATTAGTGGTGTGGTGCGGCAGACCTGTTCACCGGTCAATTGGGTGATGCGGCAAAAGGCGCGCTGCACGCTGGCAAAGGGGAGAGCAGAAAAAGCCCATCTCACTCAAGCCACCGGAGGCAGGAAGCATCAAGATTAGCCTGAAAGTGACATCCCAAAGGTCAACCCGGGCTTATCAAGTCAGCCTCAGGCCTGCCGGCGACGGTTAATCTGCCTTTATCCGTCGCGCCCGGCCTGCCAGAAGCCACAACGCCCACTTGCCCCGGGCCAGGCTAAATTGTACGCCGCAGTCCCACGGAAGCGGCCAGTGCATTCTTAAACCGGCCCTTGGCCCTCCACACCTCCACTGCGTTGGTAGACTTTTTGTCGCCGAGTTGGCGGCTGGACGTATTCAAGCTGTATTCCAGCTGGTACAGCAGACAGCCCAGCTACGGGTCCACTTCCCACCCTCCACTCTGCCTGCACAGATAGACGTAGATGCTTTTGCCCCTGAGTAAAGTCAGTATGTCCAGGGGGTCATCAAGATAACAGCACATACAACAACTCCAACGCCTGGCAAATTGAATTTCCAGCCTTCCACACCAGAAATTATAGCCAGTCCAGCTTCCGCTCGCACCGACCCGAGTCGTCAGCCGGTCAGCCGGTTGTCATCCCACCCGGATCCGTCTCACAGTACCAATGAAGTCACAGCTCGCTCTTGAAAAGCGGTACCACAACTCGACGAAGCATCAACCGGTCGATGGCTCCGCCTCGCCCAATCTTCACCTGTCTTTTTGGTCGCTAGCCCGGCCTCTGGAATCTCAGCCTGTAGGCTGGGGCGCCAAGCGACCGAGGCAAGAGAGACAATTTGATTTCCCACCCGGCTACTAATTAACGCCAGACTGTGCAATTAACAAAACCTGAATTGACCAGTACCAGTGCCATTGCCAGTGCCAATGTGCCAGTGTGGCGTATTGATTGTGGTGCCGGGACAAAAGTGTGGCCAGACACACACTCACACAGAAGCAAGTTCAGACTCGCAGGTTGGCATGAGCATCTGCCCAGTTGGAGGTTGTTGAGGCTGGGAAGCCTGTCGCCCAGGGAACAAGGGTAATCAGGGCTGACGTATACAGGAGAATTACGTCTCACCAGCAAGCCGTCATGTACGCAGCCTTGACAGTTGTGCTGGACTTGGCTCAAATGTGGAAATTCATAAATCTATGTACCTTGCCGTGGAAACGTATCGTTGTGCCTTAATGCATGTGCAATTTTTTCCAAAAGCACATTTATGTGTGTATGCCGGAGGGGGATGGAGCACGATATGTACATGTATATACAATTAGACATATAATATTGGACGGCTTGACTAGAAAACTTTTTCACACGCGGGCTATCCTGTTGTCTGAGCAAAATT